GGGCAATTTTTTTAACCTACGTTGGTGTGTGGCAAGCCGCATCAGTACCCGTACACAAAATCTCAATTGAGTGAGTGATTGAGTGCGTGAGTAATCTTTTGTGTTTTGATCCATATAGTTTCATAAAATTGTTTCGTCCAAGCTGGGGTGCTTATATTCAGCAGTATGCCTGAGGTAGTACAGATGCAGAAACCACAAGCGATCCAACATTTCCGGTGCTTTATCCTTTCTACACGATGACTGTGGAAACTCTGATGCAACTCGGATGTATCATGCTCGGACTTCGCCTTGGCGAGTGGCAGAGCCGTGCCCGTCGCAAACTCGTCGAAGCAGACCTGGAAGTCCAAAAACCAGGACCAAGAAACAAATCCCAAGCAAACCAAGAAGCAATCAACTTGGAAGCCCCTTTTGAAGCCCCTTTAGACTCCTCTACATAGATAGATCCTGCACCAGCGCCGTCCGTTTGGTGTTTTTTCAAGACAGTCCGACTCGTCCGACTGAGGGAGATGCAAGCGCCACGCGGTCATGAAGACTTGCTGATGGTGGCTTGGGTGCAGTATCCAAAAAGAAAAGGAAGCTTGGTCCCAGGGTTTGGCCCAATCCTTCAATACAGGGGGCGGGGACGTCATGTTGGACGCCCTGTCGATGGGGCGTCATGTTCATTGGGGACTCTTCAACCCGTCATCCGGTGTTCACACTTGTTGGTCGTGGCTCCAGCGGACTCCGCATTGGGCAGGAACAATGTTCCCTACTAGGGGCTCCTGGCATCGCTACTAGGAGCAAGGACGCTACTAGGGGCTCCTGGCCGTACTACTAGGAGCAAGAAGCTACTAGGAGCTTGGCCTTCCCGGCCCAGGATGGAAGCCTCGTGATTTACGAGAAGAGTCTGGGACACGCGATGTTCGTATCCCACGAGTGGTGCGGTAGAAGACACCCAGATCCTTGGACACATTTGGACACACTATTACAAGCGCTTTCCAGACATGCAGAAAGTTCGACAGCAGGCTCATGGCAAGGAATGAAAGGCACAACACCTTGACAAATTTATTGCCCATCAAACTGTGATGCACACTACCCTAATGCACGTGTTTTGTCAGTGATATGTCTTATTTATATAATACATATATATATATATACATATTATATTATATATTGGGAATTGTTATTACATTCAACACTCGAAGGTTTACTTGCACAAGACCCGAACACAAGAACACTTGTCGCGAAATGGTTTTGTAGCAATCTCGAGCGTGTCAACGATCGGAGGATCCGGAAGGTGCTCAACTTCGTGTTTTGCAAGAGGCGCTTGCTCACATGCTGCATGGATCAGATCCTTTGCTTTGAATGGCTGGATGCAGAACGCCGGAATATGTCTGAATCGGTAAGTGGGCACCTGGTTTTGCAACTGTACACTCGCCAGACCCATACAGCTTGGTGTCAGTTTTCCACTTCCCCTTTCTTTAGAAGGGCTCATTAGCTACAGGCCCTTTCCGCGTGGCTTGATGCCGCTTGTTGACTGAATGGAGTGGATCTGAGGAGAAGATTCCAGCTGATATCACTTGCGAGCTTTTGTTCGGCAATCAAGCTGGTATGGTGACAAGTCGCTCCATGTTTGCTCCAAAACGTTTTTTGTTGTACACTGCGATTTCCCCAGCAAAATTTGAATTCCAGGCGACCCGGAATTAGTTTTGTTGTAGCTGAGGTGAGCTGAAGGCCAGCCCACTCTACGCGACTTGGTCCAACTTTGGGAGGTCGTTGGCAGCGAACCCTGGGAGAGCGCATCGTTCGCTTGCAGGGTGGGAGCTGGTCGCAGCTTCGCCCAAAGCAAAGCCAGCCCAAGGACAAGCAGATAAGCATAACATGGCTGAGTTTGGTCCCCCTTCACTACACCAAGGGTTAGTCTGTAATGGTCCTGTGTAGTGTAGTCTTATAGTGGTTGGTGCACTCTGACTCTGGACACGGTCGCCAAAAGTCAGGCCCGCAATCAGTAAGGGCTTTGCACCGAAGAGGGTGGACCGGGAGTGGAAGTGATGTGGAGGTTCAGCGTGCGATCCCAAGGTCTGGTTTGACTACTTTTGCGTTCCGCAATTGGTGATGTCACTGGAAGGGCTTTGCAACTACGACCAGCAAAACGCCATTGAGAGCATCTTGGCTGAGCGTTAGATGGGGCGTTGAGGGTTCAGGCGTGTGGATGTACTGTATGCTGTTTGCACATATTTATGCTATGCTGGATGTGATGTATGTGACTCTGTAGCACTATTGGGAATGACTCTAAGCGGCAACCCTGCGGACAACAATGTGACTCTGGAGCTCAACCACTGCATGTGAGTCGTGCAATATTCGCAGTCAGTATCCAGAGATTTGCAGCACCCCGTGTCTTTTTCATGTTTTTGGTTGGGCCCTATTTGTTTTGGGATTGTTTGGGCAATGGTTTGGATTTGGGTAGAGGCGTTGGTCATCGCTTGTCAATAGGATCCTCCAAATGCAGTGCCAAGGGCACCCGGTGACAGGCCTTCAGGTGACACGTTAGCTCGTCAGCCCCTGGTCTCCAGCAACAAAGGCATCCCAGCATATGTGGAGAAGTCCCGCTTTTTTGCTGCCTGGCTATGTGTTTCAGCTTTTTCATGTGTCTTCTCAGCTCTTTCGTGGCGTACTTTGCCGATCGTTTTCTGAGTTAAAGAAGTCAGCCCGCCAGGTGATCCTTTGCCCTTACGTGCGTCAAGACGACTCAAATATTCTTCTCAGCAAACGGACTTGGTCCACCAGGGCATGGTGTCGTCTTGAGCGCCTTGCAAGTCAATTGCATGCAGGGGAGAGCAACTACATGATCGAAGTGCGCAGCGCTAGGCACCATTCTCTTGTGATGCCATACGCCCTTCGGCTCAAACTGAGGGCCACTGCTAGAGTGAGAGTCAAGATAGTTATATGCTATAAATTGTAAGTCATAGTGCGCACAAGCACGATGTTGATGAGAAGGAAATTCGATGCTCATCTTGGCCCCGTTTGCGCAGTTGGCTGGTGCTTCAGTTCATAAATTGCAAGTTTATTTATCACATGGATGCTTGGTTGATTCACGAGCTGGGCTTATGCAAGACGTGTCAGGAGTATTGTCGAGATCCTGTTGGTGAAGGTGACTTTACTGTGGCTGAAGATCGCGAAAAGGCCTCGATTGTCATGAAGGACATGTTCGACAAGAGGTTGCGGTTCTTTTTGCGGCAGCAGGATTTTCACAGCCGCTTGTAATTGATGAT